TATATATATATATATATATATATATTGAATCCTTTGACTTCTTCACGTGTTTATTCACATATTACGAGCAGAACATATATAGAGGACTATCTAGCTGACGTGGCTGTATTGGATTGAGGCGTAATTGATTGATTGATTGATTGTTTTCTTCTTATGCATGTATTGATTAGTGGATGCTCTGAATAAGATTATTGACCATTGGAATTTGAGGAGCAAGTTGAATCTAAGCATGGACCCCTGTACTCAAAATGCTCCTTGGGCACCAGACCAAGCTAATCCTAGGGTTGCTTGTGACTGTTCTGCTACTATCTGCCATATTACACATTTGTGAGCTAATTTTCAAATTTTCACCTTTTTCTCTTTTCTTGCGTTGTGAATTTTTCTCTTTAGAATGTTTTTAATGCCTATATATTCAGGAAAATTTATGCCTTGGACGTCTCTGGTGAAATTCCTAATGAACTTTTTCTGCTAAAAGAATTGATGGACTTGTAAGTGATTGCAATACTGCTATGATTAGTTCTGTAATATTATTCTGTAACTTAAGGGAGTTTAGTGATGATGTTTTGTATGTAGGAATTTGGGTCAAAATGTTATCAATGGGACCATTCCAGCTGAAATCAGACAGTTATCAAAGATGCAATACTTGTTAGTAGCATTAAGCTTCTTACAATTTCCTTATGATTTTCATTGCAATACTTGACATCGATGTGGATGTCACACACCGAGAAGAGGTGAGGTGGATGAAATGGAGATTAGTCCCGTGTGACTGGAGAGTGCCACCGATACTCAAAGGTAAGTTTTATAGAGCGGTGGTTAGACCGGCCATGTTGTATGGGACTGAGTGTTGGCCAGTTAAGAACTCACATACCCAGAAGATGAAAATAGCAGAAATGAGGATGTTGAGGTGGATGTGCGGGCACACTAGGATGGACAAGATTCGAAATGAAGATATTCAGGAGAAGGTGGGCATGGCTCCTATGGATGCCAAGATGCGGGAAGTGGGGCTTAGATGGTTCGGGCACGGAGGAGAAGCCTAGATGCCCCGGTTAGGAGGTGTGAGCGATTGGTTTTGGCGGGCACGAGAAGAGGTAGAGGGCGGTCTAAGAAGTACTGGGGAGAGGTGATCATACATGATATGGTGTGGCTTCAGATTTCCGAGGATATGGCCCTTGATAGGAAGGTGTGGAGGTCGCGCATTAGGGTTGTAGGTTAGGAGGTGGTTGAGGCTAGTCTTATAGGGTTGTGTCTCCGACTGCTAGTGGTTAATGTTGTGTCCACACTATTCTACGTTTTCATTGTGCCGGGTTTTATTTACTGGTTATTGTTATTGTTTTTTATCTATTTTCTGGTTCTTATGTTGTTGTTATTATTTCTTGATTTTTGTGTTGATGGTACTGATATAGTGTTTCTTTTCGTCGTCTTGAGCCAAGGGTCTTTCGGAAATAGCCTCCCTACCCCTTGGGTAGGGGTAAGGTCTGCGTACACACTACCCTTCCCAGACCCCATTTATGGGATTTTACTGGGTTGTTGTTGTTGTTGTATTCATTGTAGAACATTATGAAACAGGAGCCTTGGCATTAACAATCTCACTGGTCCTGTGCCTGCAGAACTTGGAAGTCTAACCAATTTGATCTCCTTGTAAGTATTCATCTCGCTTTGAGTTGTATGTCTCGGTCTTGGGGGACCTTAAGCATTTTTCTTTTCTCTAACTGTTGTTTCCTAAGAAAGATTACCCTTTGTACAGAAGTTTTAGTTCAAATAATTTCAACGGGCCCTTGCCACCTCAGCTTGGAAAATTAATCTCCTTACAGCAGCTGTAAGTATATACTAGTATAAGTTTTTGTTTTGATGTTTCTGTATCGTTCCGTTTTAGCTCGCAGATGATATACATATGACAAAGAGAAGTACTTATTCCAAGAAGTGAATTAGCTGTCTCGTAGGAATCAAAGGGATATATGTTTAATCATTCTAAATTGACTTGCCACTAAAATACTACTATTGGTAACTCAGGTATATTGATAGCAGTGGAGTGAATGGTCCAATTCCAGGGGAGCTATCAAATTTGAAGTCCCTCGAGATTCTGTACCTCTTTGTCTCTAGCCCTCAACACTAGTCAGCATGGTTCAATAATCTTTCAAGAAAAAAATGCTCAACTTAGCCATTCTAACTTGGAGTTCCTTTTCATGTGTCAGGTGGGCATCTGACAATCGTTTTACCGGAAAGCTCCCTGAATTCTTCGGGCACTTTATGAACTTCCAAGTCCTGTATGCATGACTTTGTTTTTCTCCTTTTCTGATTAATTACCATTTCTGTCATCTTAGGTTTCCAAGTAAATACATCTTTATTGTCATCTGTTTAACAGATTTCCTAAAGATTAATTCTTGTTAACAGGAGACTAGAGGGAACACTTCTTGAAGGACCAATTCCAAGCAATTATGGTGTCTTAATAAAACTACAAGATTTGTAAGGTTTATCGCTGTTACACTATGTGATAGCAATTCGCTGTGTGTTCTAACTTCCTTCACAGACTGCTATGACAAAAATGTTTTGTGTTTAGATTATTTATGTAAGCAAAGAGCGGAATTCCAGTGACTCAAGTACCGGAACTTGCACATGATTTTTCTTATGCTATTTATCTATGCAAATAAACCTCAACATACAGAAAGTTAGCAGCTTTAAGCTCTTAGTGCCATTTAAGCTTGGCTTGAGCAAAAACGAATCTTTCCTAATCAATATTATCACGTACATAGGGTTATCTTGATAAATTTTCACATAAGTCATCATCTATTCTCCTCTAGCTGAGTGTAAATCTGGTTCACCACAACAAGTTGTGGAAACATACCTTTTGTTTAGTTGACAGAAATGTTGTTTAGGAGTTTCTGATAGTCATTTCCTTTTCCTTTTTCTATATGTAGGAGAATTGGCGACCTGCGTAATGAAGATTCTTCTCTGGATTTCATTCAGAACTTGACGAGTATTTCCATATTGTATGATTTGGGTCTCAGTGCTTTCACAATAAGACTTCTATTGTTGATTATCGTTGATGATTCAGAAGTTAATCAAATTCATTTGTTTTTCACCTGTAGATCATTGAGAAATTGTCGAATTATTGGCCAACTACCAGAGAAGCTTAGCTCTTTTGGGAACTTGGAAATTCTGTAAGTTACTTTGATAGCATCAATTGTTAGGTTCATGCTTTTTGTTGCAAGTGACACCTCTCTATCTCTCTCTCTCTAAAGCTTTTCGTTCTGATATTAGTTGAATATAGGAGATGGTTCATATATTTACATTTAGAGTTCCACTATACTTGCAATCTCTGGATGTTTATGCTTTTAATCAGATAATATTTCCCTCTGCTGATTAACTACCACCACAAAGGGACTTGAGCTCCAACAAGTTGACAGGTCAAATACCAAGATCATTTCAAGACTTTGCTTCATTACGATTCTTGTAAGTCAATCCCTTACTTTTCTTTGAAGTCAATCAGTTGCAAGATACCTTTAAAATATAATGTGCAAGAGAAATATGTGTGCATCTCTTGTGTAAGTTAAGACTTATTGGCGAAAAAATAACAAAACGTTGGAAACTGGCCTTTCTTGTTAAGCATGTAAACTGCTTTTAAGATTTGGTGTGGACCTATTTTCGTTGGTTCTGTAATGGCTGCTTTAATTGAAGTTGAGTTGTGCATCTCAGATATCTAGGAAGCAACAACTTGAGCGGCGAGCTACCTCCCAATATCATGAGTTCCAATCTCACTGCCTTGTAAGTCTTAATCTTTGACCTGATTTTGCTAATTCTTACTAGGGTTTGTATCTTGAGGTTTGTAATGCATCATTTCATTGTTGACATACTCTGTGGTTTAGATTTCTCTCCACAATTTCATTTATTTCATTTTTTGTCGTTCCTAATTATGGATTATCCATTATAAAAGCTCACTTTTTAAAGTTGGTCTCATGTCAGTGAACATCGAGTGATCTCAAGAAGTCCCTTCTCAATTTTTGCTCTTTAATGTCTCCTTTGTTCTCTATACATTCTATTTTCACTAGTTCAAACTCCAGTCCAAGAGTTTTAGAGCTTATCTTTTAACAGGACAAACTATACCTATAGACATAGTGCTTGGAGGATTCTCCTACCGTTATGTGTCTTGTTAAGTTTGCATCAGTTCTTACATATCCATCACTTTCTCTAACTGTAAAGAATTTCCATTGAAGAGTCTCCTTAATGAAGTTATTTCCAGTGTCAGATATAAGTACTAAGTGCTGAATTTGCCCCGCCTACTCATAAGAGAATTCTTTTTCAAAACTTGGTGAACTAAATTCACCATTTCCTGTAGGTTCATATATGATGATCCAATGCCTAGTTGTACCCATACCCTAAGATTCGCATGTTAAATTTTGTATCAGCTGATCCTTCAAGCAATACAATTCGATTATTCTTCTTTTTAATCCTAATAGTATGCATGCTAAGTTTTGAGGATTGAATAGTCCAAAAGGCCATTCTGTACTTTTCGTTCACTTTATTCTCTATTTCAGTGTTAATTCCATGATTCTAACTTAAAATAGTTATTTCTCCTCCTATTTTGAATGGCAGAGATGTTTCCTTTAATTCTCTTTCTGGAGACCTAACACCAAAAAGATCGGGTTTATCAATGTGAGTTAGCTCTCTTCAAGCTTTACAAAGTTGTTACGTTCTAGACAGCAGTTTATTTTTAATTGGTGTATCAGTCTGAACTATTTCCATTTGGCTCATATGTTAAATTTACGCAGGAATGTTTTTGGGACTTCCATTACTGAAAGAACTTCAGATGGAAGGTATATCGCCTCCGCCACTTACAGATCAAAATTTGGCAAACAGTGATATCCATACATTGTTGAGAATCCTTTAAAAAGAGTTAGCATGACTGAAATAATGAGGATTATAATCTCATTTTGCTAATACAGGAGATTCAAACCATTAAGTATGGGTAAAGTATGAGAATGCTGAATGAATGTTGGAAAGTTCAGATATTACTTTGATGTTGGATGCCAATATGATATGAAATTAATTAATGCTTAAACTAATTTCCTCTTTTGATTCCTAATTAGACAAGAAAAGAAAGTCTTCTAAAATTATCTTAAAGAAAAGGTGGGGAATTTATTAGTTGTACACTTGTTCTCGTTTCAATTCCTTGGATTCCTTTGTTAAGGTTATACTGCTATTGATTCCATAGGGAACTTATGAGTTTTACTAATCAGCCTATCTGTAAATCATTGATTCCTTCAGTTGTTTCCTCTTTTCTCTTTTCTGTTTGCCATCCATCTCAAATATGTAGGTAAACAATAGAACAGTTTTAGTTATATCAGTTAATTTGTCTGCGACTACTTGTTTTTGCTGATGTGGTGCATATACTGAATTTGATTGATGTAGCACGGCTTCTTCAGCTTTATCGTGCCTGCAAGGGAACACCAGGTGCCTCGACATAGTTAGTTCGTGTAAGTGCACTCCTTTCCCAAGTATGATGAGACTTCTTCCATTAAGTTCCTTTAGAAAATAAAAAAATAACTTGTGAGGTATATTTTAAAACTCGCACCATATTAGCCGGGTAATGGACCTATTTCCCGTTGAATAATGTAAGGCGGAGAAGGAATCTTAGATGAGCAGAACTCATTACATTAGCAAGGGCATGATAATGAAGCTCTACATTTCTGTCCCAAAGATCCCATTTTTTCAAGTTATAGAAAATCAGGATGTTACATTTACTTATCTTGAAATTCATCAGTCTGATTTGCGTTTAAATAGAAGGGTAGCCCTTTTTTAAGGTTTAAATAGAAGGGTAGCCCTTTTTTAAGATTTTGATGAGTGCTAACAAAGGAAAAAAGAATATAAACTGAAAAATCTGGTTTGAGGACTCATAACCACTGAAGTAACAAAAATTTAACACAAAGGTTGAAAAGAATGGAGTGAACCCATAACCATAAGACTTGTAAAATATGTTTATGTTTCTGATCTTTAATCTGATGTTGGAATGCTAAATATAGTTTTTGTGTTAGCTTCCTTTTCCATCAACTCTGGAGGAACGGAAACAGAATCTGCAGATGGCACCAAATACGATAACGACTCAGAGACATTAAGTGCAGCCTCGTTTTACATGAGCCCCAGTAATCGATGGGCAGTGAGCAGCTCTGGCATTTTCATTTCCAACCCACATGGACAAAACTATATAGCTGAGACAGGTTCTCAGATCACAAGCACATTAGACTCCGAGCTTTAAAAAAGTGCTAGGATATCGCCTAATTCATTGAGGTACTATGGTTTTGGATTGAGCAATGGAAGATACAAAGTAGAACTTCATTTTGCTGAGATACAGATGGATGATTCTCACTCTTGGAAAGGCCTCGGGAGACGGTTATTTGATGTTTACATTCAGGTACTTCAAGCTTAAAACCAACTTACTTATCTGAAAAGAATTGGATATTTATTCAGTTGAAAGATTTTTTGCAATTGATGAAGGGTGAAAAGGTTCTTGAAGATTTTAACATTCAGAAAGAAGCAGGTGGATCAAAAAGAGCTATAGTTAAAACATTTGAGGCAAATGTGACAAACAGAATGATGGAAATCCATTTCTTGTGGGCTGGAAAAGGAACATGTTGCATTCCTTTTCAAAGCACTTATGGTCCTTTAGTCTCTGCAATCCATGTCACTCAAGGTTCTTCTCATTGCATTTCCATTCATATCACTTTTAACTCCCTTTTCTTCTTTTCACCTGAACTGATGATAAGTTACCGCGCTTTTGTTTACTTGTGATTTTGTTGCAGTGGCTACAAATGGTGGTTCTTCTAAAAGCAAAAAGAAACGCGTCGGAATAATATTTGGAATTGTAGCTGGAAGTGCAGCAGGTATACTGATAGTTTCTTCAGTTTTCTACCTATGGTGGGCAAATAGAAGAGGACCAACACATATGAAAGTTGCAACTGACTCACCAACAAAAGGATAGTTTGAAGCTTAACTATCCCCAGCATGTATGGTATATGACCAAATAAAAAATTTTAAGTTTAAGACGTCTGTCGATAAATGATTGGACTGTTTTCCAGTTTTCTTGAGAATCAAATAAAACTACATAAGTTATTCGGTTGTCTGGGCTACCAAGCTATATTCCTTCGGAACTTATTTCATAATCTGGCACATGTTATTATGATTAGTTTCTGCAAGAAAACAATACACCTACAAAAGTGAACAATGGAAATAAATTTCAAGAAAGATATTTCCAGACAGAATTTTTTTTTTTTTTTTTTTTTTTTTGTGAAAAATAAGTGAACTAAAAAAATGAAGTAGATGAGTAATTCGAAGGGTTTATTTTCACCAGTTAGGTGGGGGGAAATTGGATGTTTATTTATCTCGTGTGGGCATCTAGAAAAGAACATAGGAATAATAAAAATAGAATTCCACAATTTTCCTAAGGCAAAAAATAAACGATCACGGTGGGACTCGAACCCACAATCTCCCGCTCCGGAGGCGAGCGCCTTATCCATTAGGCCACGCGACCTTGTTTGTCATTATTCTTGTTTACTCAGTTTAATTGGTTTTCATTCTTTGGGGGATACAGTTTTGTTTAGGAAATGTGAAGACAAAAGTTTGAAAATGCAGAAATATAAGCCAGAAACAAAAGATAACAAAATATATCCAGAAAAAAAGGATGATATATTTTTAAGGAAAACACCGACAATTTCAACTGCCTCAACTTTCCAACACAATGCCAACTACCTCAAAAGAGGTGCCGACCACCTAATTTAGCTTGTTTTATAGTATGACATATAGGGAATCCAATATAAGGTTTTCTTTCTTTTTTGACATTCTACAAGATAAATTGACAAGACTTTTCTCATTCATTAACCAATCTTACACTCACAAAAAAATATTTAAGAAAAAAAAAGGAAAAATAAAAAGAAAAGGAGAGAACATATTGCTTTCCTTCTTCTTTTTTCCTTTCTTCTTTTTAGAAATAATAATAATTAGAATGAAGATTTTAAAACTTCTTTTTATTTCGATGGTATCTGTTGAAATGTTAAGTAACACGGAGTACTTCTTGTTTGACTAAAAAGTATAATTTTCGGCTAAAATTATTCTATTTAGGTAATAACGGGTTAAACCTAGTTAATAACAATATCTCTAGATGCGAATCTTGAAAACGTGTGTGAGATGGGACAGATCCAATAAAGGGTTGATAATAACAAGCATTAAATAGTCATAAAGTATAAGAGTAATGGAAGAGTGACCGATAATAAATAACAATAAATGATATTTGAGTAAATAGGCGGAGTGATTCACCCAATAAATAATGAGCTAAGTGATTATTCCTTATGGCAATGATGAGTGATAGACAGATCTTAGAACATCCGAAATCTTCTAGAATCTGATGAAAAAGTGTAGGATAATATGAACAAGAATCTTGATAAAAAGGTGTTCTTTGTATCTTTTTAAGAGAGAGAGTATCTTTTTGCAAAGTCTGCTCTTATCACAATGAAGATCACCGACCCCTATTCCTTTTTCTTTTTTTCTATTTATCTGGGGTATACCCCCAATAAATTCTAATAGTACAAGTACAAAAAATATCCAATCAAATATTCTTTTTAATATCTTGCCCAAATAAACTAGCTGTTACAACTCTTTTTGCAATGCGCGATATCTACCATCTTTTGCATCTCGCCCACGGGTTTTGCCATCTCCTGGTCGATCTCGATTGACTCTTTTCTCGATGTTACCTAGTCCCAAGTAGTGAGACAGATTTCTACCTATACACTTTCAACTTTGTTTTTCTTTTTCATTTAGCAATATTTGAAGTACAAAAGATCACCAATTAAGATAAGTCTCTTGATATATAGTTCAATTATTGCAAATAAAGCAAAATGTTTTACCTTTTCCAACGAGTCCTATTTTCAATTATATTTACAGCCAAATTAATTGAATTTAAAAACTTATCCATTCGTCATTGTGTGAATAAACTACACTTATAACTTTCTTTTGTGTGATTTCGTACTATCTAAAACTAATTTTTTTTCTAATATATATATATATATATAATAGAAGAGTAGTTTGCATTGAGGTTAAACCAAGTGGCAAGCTAAATAAGCTACTCCTAATAAAAAGCCACTTGACAATTTTAAGACATAATTTAAGTAGATTTATACTATTTCCTTGTTAGTAGCAACTCTTTTTAAGAATTTAGAAAAGATCTTATCATAGATGCAGACTTCAAATTAATTGTGCTTAAATAGGTAGGTATANAAAGGCTAGAGAGAGAAATAGATTATTATTATCTTTTTGGTTATAAATATAAAACGAAAATAATTGAGTGATAGTTCATTAGTAAACTATATATTCTCCACCTTGTATTTTACCATACAAAGTTCGATATCACCAAACTCTTTTCTTCCTTTCTTATGGTAAAAACCTGAGCATCCCACATCCCAACAAGATTTTAAAATTTCAGAAAAAACAAGTGAGACAATAACTTCGAATCATTTTATGTGAAAAGATGTAAACAACTTGCATAGGTTCGAATTGATCACTTTGCACGTTTGAGATCTACATTTAGCTAAACTTCTTTAATATACCAATTTTTCAAAAGAAAATTTGTAAGCTATTATAATACAATATTAGTAGCAATGTAGCATAGTAAGGTGCTAGTAAACATCCACATCAACGACGTTCTTTCCAAATTTGTCACTGTCATTTACAACCTAATTTCCCATTTGTTAATTCATACATAACCTTAAAAAAAATCACACATAACCTATACAAAGCTGTGGCTTTATTTCAATAATTGAGAGTTTGAGACATTATATAATATGCAAGTGCATAAAGTTCACAGCCAATAATGAGACTTCTCAAAAGTAAAAGGTCCCCCTTTGTGCCAAATATCAACCAAAGCAAACTACCCACAAGAAATGAAAATGATAAAGAAGAAAGCAAGAGCACTATGAAAAGAACCATCTAAATGTTTGGTGGTTGAAATAAGTAGTAGTAATATTTACTGGGTTGTGGTACTCCTCCTGTCCTTACTAAAAGTCTCGGGTTCAAGTTCTGGATACGAAGTTGCTTTTGATAAAGAGTGTTTACCTTCTAAAATGAACTTTTTTAGAAAATTTAAATTTATCGGGCTCCAAACTGATACGAAAAAAACAAAAATAATAGTAACATTTTGAAAAAGGATAAATAAAGAAAAATTTGTGAGACCTCCAATGGTTCGTGGAATATGTGGACTCCATTAGCTAGTATGTATGTGCCAGCCATACACGTACCCATCAAAAAGATGGTTTTTTTATTTTTATTTTTGTTTATGCATCCATTAATGTAATTCTCTGAGGAAAAGTCACGATTTTTATTCATTACACTCTTCACTTATAAAGTATGATTCTAGAGTCTAGACCCCTTTATTCTTTCACTATCTTCATAAAGTTGATAAAGAGCTCCAATGCTTAAGATTTATACAATATTCCCATGATTCATGAACTAAAAAGCAAACTCACATGTTAGAAGTAATTTACTTAGTGTAGTATTACTGCCTTTTTTTTTGGTCTTTAAATTTTTTTTGAAGTGAGGCTAGGCTTATAATTGTGGAAAATGAGAATACTTTAGTGAAATTATAAGTCTATGCTTAACTCTAAAACTCCACCTTTAAAAGTTAGGTAGACTAATAATCACCAGAATGCAACTCAAATCCTCCACCTCTGAAAGTTATATGGTATCTATCAAAAATTATTTTCTTTTTGGAGCTTAACTACAAAAAGACCGATTAAATTGCCAATGAAATGACATAAATCATGAAAATAAACAAATTTGATTTTCGCTTAACACCCTCCTTAATAGAGTATTAATCAATAAAATAAAGTAAAACTCCCAAGGGACACCCTTAACTATTATCTTATCTTCTGTACTAAAAAAAGGTGAGAATTATTGGTGAAATTAAAACGTTACACCTAAATAACGTTGATGAAGAAATAGCCGCCAAGCTGCAACTCAATCCTCTCTAAAATATTGAAATATGATAAATATCAGAATATTTATTTAATATGGAAAAAGAACCACATAACCAGGGACGGAGCTAGAGACCGAGGCACGGGTTCGGCCGAACCCAGTAACTTTGGTCCAAACTCTATATTTGTCTTAAGAAATACATTTAATATGTTCAAATTATTAATTTAGAACTCGGTAACTTAAAAGGGATAAAATCCCGAACCCAGAAATTTCAGATTATGGCTCCGCCTCTACACATAACGAGACAAAATTAAATTACCTGTAAAATGATATACATTTGAAATCATACATATTTAATTTTATTTGATGAATGCTTATCAGAGTGACTCATTGAAAAAGAAAAAGAAACTTCCGAGGATCACGTATATCTTGTCGTTATTTTCTGTCAGTTTATTATCTTGCTTGTTTTTTGCAAGTTTAACCTACAAGAGATCGCAAAATATCATTTCTAATGCTGAAATGTTAATTATTATTTTTCAGTTTTACAAACAGGCACCGACGGAATCAAAATTTTGAAAAATAAAGTTTTCAATCACTCAGTTCGATTTAGGGATAGCTATTAATGGATTAAACGTATTGTAAACGCAACAATTTTCGTGGGCAGATAATATTAAAAACGGTGATTTAAACAAAGGAATATAAAATTTGACACAAATGTGAGGGATTTTTCAAGCTGTGTGTAATTCTAATCCATCAGAAAGCCGAAATGATAATTTCCTTTTCTTTTTATTTTGGGACAACGGTGGTGTCAGCTTGCACACGCCTCAATTATTTAATTATCTGGTACCTCCCATCAACTCAGAAATCAAGCTCGCTCACCTCTACTATTCCATTTCGTACCTAATACCTTTATATTTTCCTAATATTTTTGCCTGTGATCGGATTTGAACTATGATCTCCCATCAGTTTCATTTCAATTCATTGCGATTGTTTGGTCACACCCTTGCGTGCCACTTCGATTTGATAATTTCCTCTTTTTTTTTATTCACAATATATGGACCAGGAGTTGATCAATCAAAAGATAGGTCAACTGCATTTTATACCTGTGGACAGCTATAAACCAACTTAGACACCGAAGTTGACAATGAAAGGATAGCTAAATGATAGGTGCAACCTAATAAAGATTGGCATAGAAACAACATTAGTTTAATATTAGAGCCCTGCCTTATCAGGTAATCCTATGTCACTTTCAGCTTCAGTATTTCTACGGTCTTCTTTCTTCAGCCAGCATTTTCTTTTTGGCTATCGTTAATATCTAATTATTTCCATAATCATTCCATAGATCTGTTCTTCTCATTGATGAATATACTCCTTTGCCAAGAAAGTCATGGACAGAAAGATTTGTGCGGATCTCTGTTTTGTTCTTGAAAATAAAAACAACAATTGTTTCATTTTCTGGCAAAAAGATATTTTCCACAAGAACCAATTCTTCAAAAACCAAAACCAAAACCAAAGTACTAAGCTCTTTATAATCTATACATAACAAATCAATCCATTCAAAGTTATAAGTCAGCTAAATACAATTGGGAAATCAAGATAATGAGAGTTACTCAATTGCCACTGTGGAGGAGTACTGAATCTAATCAAAGCCTCAGTAATAGCATATATCTAGTTCATAATCCTATACATACCACCTAAGTATAAAATACTACTGTAATAACTAGCTATTTGCCCAATTTCGTGAATCGAATTTTAAGCGTTTATGGTCTAAAACCAACCAATCAAACCTACCATATAATAGCCAAGAGAAATACAAAGACTAGTTTACTAATCTAATTAGTTCATAATTCAAAGTTCTTGGAAGACCGAGAGAACTACAAAGCATCTGTCGGCGTAGTCTCAAGAAAGAAGGAACCAAGATAATTAAATGAGGCATTGGTCAATGATCGGAATGGAGTTAGGTTACACTATAGAAACAAACATCACTTAAACGAAGACCTGAAGAAAATACAAATATTACAAAAACAGATGAGTCATGCTATTAGGATTACAGAGCACCCAGCATAAGAATCCCCCCAACCATTAGTCTCTATTCTCTTCAGCCCATTCTCTCTTCCTCTCAACCACTACCCTCACTACACATGCACAAATTGAACATATATCCATCAATAGAATACAGTGGAAAAAGATCAAAGCACTAGATAAAGAACATAACAATGAAATGGAAAATGAAAAGCTAAAAATGATGTATACGTGGCAATATCAGTAAGGAGTGTAGTAGTACCCTGCCGCAGGTGGTAATCCAACACCATTTACTGGTGGCATGCCATAAGGCATCGCAGCTGTTTGTGGACCATAATATCCGCCAGTGTTGATCTTGGACAAACTCGTTTGGCCTTGCATACCATCTCTAGCATATTGCTGCCATACGACTTGCTCCTGTACAAGCAATTGCTGTTTCTTCTCCAAATCCGCCATTTGTACATATGAAGGAGGTGGAACAGTCAAAGATGCAGCAAATGGATCCTGTCCAACTGTCTGGACCGTTCCATCGGNTCGTTCCATCAGGTGCAGGGAGTGCCAAAACTGGCGTTGCACTCTTCCCTGTCCCGGGTAATGCCACACTGCTGGCACTACCTCCACTCAACTGGGCAGTGGAAACATGCTGCCTAACCATCCCTTGATCATACATGCCATTCAACAGTAGTGGATCAAGTCCACCGCCCAATGCGGCCTTTTGATTAGACAGATGACTAGCTGTCTCCACCAAAGCCAACTCCCAATCAGCCTTACCAATCTCAGCCGCTGGATTCTGCCAAGCAGAGGTCATCTGAGCTTCCCCATTGCCGGGGAATGCTTCCCACGACCCATTGTTTGTTCCAGGCCCTGCAAACAATGCCAAGGCAAATTTATTTCCCTGATCATCAGCAGTAACACCCTCCTCCCTCAAATCCACCAAATCCCCAGTCTCCTGAACCACTGGCTTAGGAGGCTCCGGTTCAGGTGGTGGTGGAGGAGTATACTCCTCCGGTGCAGGCAACGCTTTAATCTCATTCATATCAGGTGCTGGTTCTTCTGGTGGAGCTGGCAGACTCTCAACTTTCCGCTCGGGACTCTTTGTCGCCTTAGCCCTGTCCCTCACAAACTCTTCTAATGTATCCAATAGCTTGCTTGTTATCCTTTGAACTTCCGGATACTCAGACGACCTAGCCACACCAATATCCTTACACCAGTTGTAGAATCCCACTAGCTCATCGATCTGCTTCGCTGCACTAGCATAGGCATCAAATGCCTTAACGCAATCCTGGTACTCCATGTCAAAGAATTTATCCAACAAAACAGCCAAAACCTCACATATATCAGCATAAAGCTGGAAATTTTCTTTCACCATAGGATACAAAGCAACCAACACCATCCTTTCATTTTTCGCCAATCCAGTTGGTCGACAAGACAAAAACCGATCCAACAACCTCTGCAAATGAGTCATCTTCCCAAAGATCCTCTCAGGGTTCATCTCTCTTAATGGGGTCACATCTTTCCGCTCCTGTGTTGACTCTCTCACATCCCCAGATGATCGCGACTTCCTCATTCCATAAGCAGGCTCATCCCTGAACTCACCATAATCATAACCATTGCCTCGGTTAGAGCTAGGAGGAGATCTCCACCTTTCTTCTCTAGAACCATATCTCTCAATCTCTCCACCAGTACTCCCATTTTGCTTCCTCTCAAAAACCATCAACTCCAATCTTTGATCCAAATACAAAGCATAAGTCCTTACAAAAGCCGAATGATCCCATGAATTCGAATGAGCCTCATCGCGAAAATCAGACAAATTGAGAAGCCTGGTGCCTCTCCTCGTGGCATACATGATCTCTTGCTGAAACACATTATCACCATCATTGAGAAGACGGTGAATGAGCATCAAACACTTGATGGCAACAATCCAATCGCGGGTTTTGCCTAACCTTTTGGAAATCAACGAAACACAAGCACTCACATACCCACGAGAGACAGAAGTCAAGTGAAGAATCTCACGGATGTACTTCTCGCTCGCAGGTTCATCGTCATGGCTTGTAGCCTTAACAATAGCAACTTCCAGCTCCGGCGCCATGTTGCTGGCTACTTTCGCGAGCCCTATACTCGTCTGATCCTTCACTGCCCCGATCGCCTTTCGAATCGTGGTCGGCGCCATGATGTATAGCACAACAGAGATTTCAGATTTCTTCCCTTTTTATTGCTTCTATAAAATCAAAAAAAATCAAAGGTCACAACTTTATACCATTATGAAGAACTAGTATACTCATAATAATGGCAAATCCAATAGAGAAACAATATGAATAGTCTATATAAGTTGGAGTCAACTATATAAGTCTATCTATATCCATTTTCCATTCCATCCAGAAAAAAAAATATCAAATCTGTTGACTTGAAAATAGAAGTTTCTATATTTGCTCCATTAAACTATAACCAGAACACAACAGATCAAGAACTAGCAAAATCACAACTTTTTGACTTGAAAGTATTAAGTTTCTATATTTGGGTCAATAAATTCAAGAATCTTAAACTATACCTAGAACAGAAAAATCACCAGCAAAAATAGAAAAAGATTAATGAAAATTGAAATAGGTTGAAGTACATACACACCAGAAAAAAGGCTGTAATGCACAGATCTATGAATTGGGTGTGATCTAAAGCGTTGCCGACAAATCGTGGCCGGAATTCTCTCTCTCTCTAGATTTGATGCGAGCTAAGAGGAGAGGGCGAAAATGGGAATGGGAATATAGTTAAAGGAAGGGGAGTGAAAAAGGAAAGTAGATCTATAAAAGTGGAAGGAGAATATGGACCGTTGGATCGGAATCGTAGATTAGCGGAAGTGTCGGAGGAACATAATACGTTGTCGGAGCGAAGACAGTGTGGCACTCGCACAATATGTGAGGGACACAAACCGGATAAGTATTGTTTATTTATCTAAACACAAAATTAGTACTACAATTTAATAAGTTATTCTATTATTTTGCATTCTATGTTATTATTATTACTATAACTGTATATGCTATATTATGTCAACTTAATTTTTTTTTTTGGAACCCCAGGAAAACCCGCGGCTGTTATAGTCTCTGTCACATCCTCTACCTATCAGGTGAGCACTTTGTGCGCAATGGGTAAATTTTCACCGTGTAATAGCCTGTAAACCATACGAGGATGTAAACCGCACTAGGCAAGCAATGTGCGACAGGCTCAGACCCAGAAGACATTGAGGGTGGATCAATTCCGGATCATCGCTATGGATAACTCCCTCCAAACCAACCGGGCCATCCCCGAAGGGACATGTCAACTTAATTTTGATAGTATAAAAATATTGCTTTGAATAGATAAACATAACTTAGGGTGTGTTTGGCGCTAAGAAAAATATTTTTCAATTTTTTCATGTTTAGTTGGCTTAAATATTTTGATGTTTAGTTGACTTAAATATTTTGGAAAATATTTTCCTTGTGAACTCATTTTTCTCCAATTGTAGGAAAATATTTTCCTTATTAGAGAAGGAAAAATATTTTCCAAAACTTTTTCTCAACCTTCTCCACCCTATTCCCCATCCCCACCAACCCTCACCAACCCACCCCNTACTTTCTTTTTTATTTCAAAAAAAATGATTATTTTCTTTTCATGATGTAAAAAGTATTTTCTTTCATATCAACAAAAAAAGTACTTTATTTTCATGATGTAAGTATTTTCTTTAATTTCAATAAAATGAGTACTTTCTTTTCATGTTGTAGAAAAGAGTATTTTTTTTCAACCAAAAAAAGATTATTTCGTTTTAGTCATGGAGCACCAATTTCTATGTTGTTTTTGCATAAAAAAGTAAAACAGCACATTAGTTCCATTGTGTTTGTGTGAATTTTTAAAAGAATAATTAAATTTTTGAAGAAACTAAAGTCTTGAAAATATTGGGTATATGGGGAGGGGGGGAGGCGCACATGAAACATGGAAATTTGGGAGAATGAAGGCAAGGAGAGTAGAATAAAAAAATATTTTCTACTCTCTAATCAAATACTAGAAAATATTTTTCGAAAAAAGTTTTTCACTCAACTACAAAACAAGAAAAAATAAATGATAAAATCACTCATTTTCCTACAAATGAAAAATATTTTCCTTCGTACCAAACACACCCTTAAACTCTATTTTTGTTTCTCAAGTCTCTAGCTTCATCATCATACTATATTATAAGTGTGAAAACTTTTGGGTAAAGTTATTTTACTAAAATGTCCTTCAAAAGTTAAACGACCATTTTACCCTTTAGTTTAACAATACTCCTTTAACATTGTTGAATAAAAATACAATTATACATTATAATGAATACCAAAGATAAAATTGAGCACATTTATTATATATACAAGCTTTAGACATTTATTTTTAATGATAATGATAATAATCCTACGTTATCTCTCATTTTAATTTATTACTTGTGCAAATTTCTGAAGTTGAGTCATTATTCAATTGCGATTCATAAGTATTGGCAAGTCTTTACTATTGTTCATGTCACGACCCGAAATTTTCCACCGACGGGACCGTGATGGCGCCTAACATTTCACTTGCTAGGCAAGCTAACGTTAGAAAAAGTCGTTAAACCAATTCCTTATTTTCATTCAGTAAATAACAATAATTAACTAAGATGAAATATAATAAGTACGGAATATCATAAAACTATATTAATTACTACTACCCGAATCTGGAGTCACAATTCACGAGCATTCTAGAATTTACTACAATTATTAGTCTAAAAAAAATACAACTGTCTGAATGAAAGAAAACAGTAGGACATAAAAGATAGACGGGGACTTTAAGGTTTATGAACGCCGACAGATCTACCTTGAATCTCCGGACAGCGGACCAGTAGCAAATCTCGATCAACCTGAGCAGATATCAAAATCTGCACAGAAAGTGCAGAGTGCAACATCAGTACAACCGACCCCATGTACTGGTAAGTGTCGAGCCTAACCCCAGCGAAGTAGTGACAAGGCTAGAACAAGACACCCACATATAACCAGAACAGTATAATCATGCTAGTGGCAACAACAGTAAATAAAGCAATAACGCAAAAATAATAGGAATGGGACATACAGTGGGGGAATACAACATAAAGAGTGAGAATAATGAAAAGACATAATTAAACAGAAAATCATTAAGCGAATTGAGCAATTAAAACAGCAAAGGAAAACTGCACGGCATCACCCTTCGTGCTTTTACTCTCAACCTTATCAAATAAATAAATAGAACGGCATTACATCACCCTTCGTGCTTTTACTCTCAACCTCACCAAATAAATAAATAGAACGGCACGACATCACCCTTCGTACTTTTCACTCTTCCTCACAATATAAATAATGTATGCACGGCATCACCCTTCGTGCTTTACACTCTTCCTCACAATATAAATAAGGCATGCACGACATCACCCTTCGTACTTTACACTCTTCCTCACAATATAAATAATACATACACGGCATCACCCTTCGTGCTTTACACTCCTCCTCACTAATCACAAAATCAATAACAATGGATAGATAAGAGCATCACAAGGAAACCAATATTTTACCCATAATCCATAGCACAATGTAATCTCAACCTTGAATCAATATTTGAAAGTTGCCAAATCTCAGTGAAACCAGATATAAGTCACACATCATTTCAAATAACCCGATAAGCATGGATAGTAGAATTTAAGGCTACAAAATAGACAAGAATAGAATTTCACTCGCATGCTATGACTCGACAACGATGCATAGATGCTCGTCACCTCACCTATATATCGTATTTAACAATCAAACACGTAGAAAATGAATACATAATACCTATTCCCTCAAGCCAAAGTTAGACACGATACTTATCTCGCTCTGAAGGCCACTTAATTCTCAATCACAGCTTTTCCTTTGGAATTCACCTCCAAAGCACTCGTATCTATTTAAAAATGACTCAATAATATCAAATATTGCTCAAGGAATCAATTGTTTTTCATAAATTAAATTTCCCAAATTTTCCTCCAAAAAGTCGAAAAATCAACCGCGGGCCTGCTTGGTCAAAACTTGAGGTTCGGACTAAAATTCTTTTACCCATTCACCCCCGAGCCCGAATATATAATTAGTTTTGGAATCCGACCTCAAATTGAGGTCTAAATCCCCAAATTTTCGAAATCCCTAGTTTCTACCCTAACCTCTAATTCTACCATGAAAACTTTAGATTTTAGGTTGAAAATTCAAGAAATATAACGGGTAATTAAAAAAAAATGGTTTAGAATCACTTACCAACAATTTGGGGAAGAAATGGCTCTTGAAAAATTGCCTCTCACCGTTTGGTTTTTGAGAAAATAAATTTTTGGCTAAAATTCCGTTTTTGGATTCTGTTAAGTGCTGGGCGACAGTGTTCATCGCGTTCGCGAGAGCACTGTCGTGTTTGCGAAGGGTACTTGCTACCAAACCTACGCGTTCGCGAGACCCAGCTCGCGTTCGAGATGGTTACTCCCCCCTGGCCTTCGCGTTCGCGAGGCATTGCTCGCGTTCGCGATGAAGGAACGGCTGACTCCCCATCCCCGATGCCTAACACTACGCGTTTGCGATGGGCTTGTCGCGTTCGCGAAGGGTAACGCCCCCATTGCTTCGCGTTCGCGAAGAAGAAATCTTCAGCTGCCCAGTTTACTCTTCGTGTTCGCGAGAGTACCTTCGCGAACGCTAAGAAAGACATGCCAGAACTGCAGCAACTTCGCGAACGCCAAGAAAGACATGCCAGAACACATGCTGCAGCAAAATACCAGATTTTCAAAGTCCAAAACATTATACGAACTTGCTCGCGTGATCAAATCGCCAAAATAACACCTAAAACTACGAATTTAGCACCAAATCAAATGAAATTCTCAAGAACACTTTAAAATTTCTATTTTCTCAACTGGACATCTGAATCACGTCAAATCAACTCCGTTTCTCACCAAATATCACAGACAAGTCTTAAATATCATAATAAACCTGTGCCAGGCTCCGAAACCAGAATACGGACCCGACACTAACAATGTCAAACATAAATCAATTCTTAAAAATAATTAATTTTTCAGACTTTTAATTTTTATCAAAAAATCATAACTTGAGGTAGGGACCTCCGAATTCGATTCCGGGCATATGTCCAGGTCCCATAATTCGATACGGACCCACTGGAACCGTCAAAATACAAATCCGGACCCGTTTACCAAAAATATTGACCGAAGTCAACTTTTAAGGTATAAATTCTTATTTTCATCAATTTTCAACATAAAAGCTTTCCGCAAATATGCTCGGATTGCGCATACAAATCGAGGAGGGTAAAACTGAGATTTTAAGGCTTAAGAGCGCAGATTCGAGTTTTAAAATATAAAATGACCTTTTAGGTCATCACAGTTCAACATGAATATACAAGTAGAATACATAATGTATTTGGCATTTAACTGATCAGTGAAGGTTAGTAAGAGCCCGTTTGGACATAAAATTTGGTTGAAGATTTTTCCAATTTTTTTTTAGTTTTTTTTGAAATCAGCGTTTGTTCATAAAATTTCCAATTTTCACTTGAAGATGCATTTTGAAAATTTTCGAAAATTTGAAAAGCTGCAAAAGGCTGTTTTTCAAAATTTTCACTCAAATCACTCACAAAACTTCAAAAACAACCCAAACTGAAATTTATGTCCAAACACAACTCTAAATTTCAAATACCATTTTTACTTAAAAAAAGTTTTCGCCATTTTTTCGAATTTTACAATTCTTATCTCCAAACGCCTACTAATTATCCATAATTGGCTGCTCACTTACCATTTAACTTCTTTATTATACGATTATATTTATAATTCATTATAGCTCTTTGCTAGATTTGTAGACTATTTCACATCCTTGTTATCTTCTTTTATAGATATTGAC